CAGCTATACTGTTTTCCCGGTTTTGCTCTTCTCTCTGTATCAATTCATGTAAGTCTTCCTATGATTCTCCTAATACTTCATTCCTTATGTGCAAAAATATTCTATTACTTTCATACATATATATATATATATTATATAAAAAAAATTCACTAGTGTACTGTCTAGACATCTGCTGGAGCTCTCTCTCCCTCTCTTTGACAAAAACAGGGCAGCTAATAACTTCCTGACTTGCTTTAATGATCATTCCAACTTTCAACAGGTTGAGGAACTAATGAGTATACCAGCCGCTCTCCACCTGACTCTCACCGCTGAGGCAGCATTGATGGGGAGAGGTGGAAGGGTGAAACAGCCAAACGAGTGCTCCATCTTAGAAGGGGCGATACACCAGGAGTGGAGAGCTGCAGCCCTCTATTTGAAAAGCTCAGAGGAAAGCTGGGGAAGATGATAAGGCCTGTAATTCTAAAGGGGATTGCAGACCAGAAGGGATGGGATGCTTTCCAAAATGAAATTCTACAGACATAAAGAGGAACAATTATGGTAAGAAGGGGGAGCTGTCAAAAGAGATGATTGTAGCAGACCCATGGGGAACGCACCAAACAACTTAGATTTTAAAAAGACACAGGCAGAAGACAGCAAGAGTGACAGCAGACAGTGACACTCCATCCCTTCAAAGAGGTGCCAGGGGTGCCAAGGGGAAGTAGCAAAAAGGGGCTCACAAGTGATACTTGAGGAGACAGCAAGATCGCAGAAGGGACAGAGCTACCCACTGCCTGGGATGGAAAGAATGAGGAAAATGAACAGGAGAGACAAAGCTGCTCCACCCATGCTTTGTTTCTCTTTTCTTTGCTAAAACTAATGATCCTTAAGCTGGAAAGGACAGCACAAAAATGCATGACAAGAACTGGATAGCCAAGATAAGTTGGGAGACGAGACAAGACGGAGCACCTACCTCCCCTTGATGAGCTCAAGTCAGGGGCCCTGCTCAACTATGTCCTAGGGCAGAGGTGGGGAACCTCCTACTGCATTGGGAAGGGAAAAAACAAAACAAAACACCTGACAGGTGTGATCGCTGAATCTTCAGCAGTGATCTTTGAAAGATCCTGGATAAAGGGACAGGTGACGCAGGATTAGAGAACTGATTTTGTTTGGACTTTCAGGTAAGGGCAAAGAATGGAATCTGCAAAATATTATAGCTTGACCAAGCTTGACTTTGGCCCCTGGCAAAATTCTATTCTCCCTTTCTCCCCTCCCCTCCCCTCCCCTCCCCTTCCTTCCTTTCCCCGCCTCCATATATGTCTGTTTGTCTATTTGTGAGTATAGTACAATTCTACAATGTGTGTGTATATACATACACACACACACATATTCTACAATGTAAAATTATATCTATCTAAATTTTTTTTAAGAGATGACTTGCTGAACATTTAGAAAAGGAGGTGGTGATCGCAAAGAGTTATCCTGGTTTCATCAAGAAAAGGTCATGTCCCACCAACCTTACTTCCTTTTATAACAAAGTTAAAAGAGCGGAATGATACAGATACGGTTTACTTCAATTTTAGCTAAAAAAGTGACAAAGATTTTAACACTTTTCTCATGGAAAAGATGGCGAGATGAGAGTCCAACTAAACGGAGTGAAAATTGAGTGGTCAGACCCCAATAAGTCATGAACAGTTCTGTGTCTGCCTGGAAGGAAACCTCCAATGGAGTGAGCACCCCACAGGTCTAGGCCAAGCCCTGTGTGAATATTTGTTATCAGTAACACGAAAAAAGGCAGAGCCATGGCATCTTTATTAGATGCCAGATGGCAGAAAGTGAGGAAGGATAATTAGTGTACAGGATGGCACAGTCAGGATCCAAAGAGGTCTCAGCAGCCTAAAACACTGGGCCAAATTTATGGAGATGAAACTTAATAGGGATTAATGTAAAGTCTTATATTTGCATTTATAAAACCGACCTCACAGGTACCAAGACAGAGAAGAGAGGGTTAAAAAGTAGTGCATTGAATATGATCAGAAGGTTTCAGTGGACCCCAAGCTCATTCTAATCAAAAATGTGATGCAGTATCCAAGAGTCTGAATGCAATCTGAGCCTATATTAAAAAAGGCACAACGTCCAGGAATAGGGAGGAGGTTATCCTGCTGCACTCAGTCCTGGTTTTGTTCTGGGTGCCACATTTTAGGAAGGACACTGATAAGGAGGAAGCCAACCAGCATGATAGAGGGCCTCAAGTCCATGGATATTTATCCTGGAAAAGAGAACACTTAAGGGGAGCATGACAGCCATCTTCAAATATTTCAAGGGCTGTCACACAGAAAAGGGATGACTAGATTTGTTCTTCTTCTTCTTTTTTTTAAAGCAACTGGGGTTAAGTGACTTGCCCAGGGTCACACAGCTAGTAAGTTTGAAGTGTTTGGTCTGAGGCTGGATTTGAACTCAGGTCCTCCTGACTTTCAGGGCCGGTGCTTTATCCACTACACCACCTAGCTGCCCCTGAATTTGTTCTTCTTGACCTCAGAGGGTAGACAGAGCCAGAGCAATGGGCCAAGGCCACAAACAGGGGGGCAGCTAGGTGGTGCAGTGGATAGAGCACCGACCCTGGATTCAGGAGGACCTGAGTTCAAATCTGACCTCAGACACATAACACTTACTAGCTGTGTGACCCTGGGCAAGTCACTTAACCCCATTGCCTAACCAAAAACAAACAAACAAACAAAGCCACAAACAGAGAAACTGAGGCTCAGTAAAAGGAAAAACTCTCCCAATCAGACCTATCCAAACTGAGTTGTCCCGGAAGGTAATGAGCTGCCCTCACTGAAGGTCATCGGGCGAAGGCTGGATGACTATTTGTCAGAGATGATTTAGAGGTGATTCCTCTTCCGTTAGGAGGCTCTATTAGAGGCCCTCTGATGTCCCTTCCAACTCCGGGCTTTCTTCTGGATGTTTCCCCAGCTCTTGAGATTCCTCGAATGAACAGGTATATAGGTAGGTCACAGCACTGTGTGTGTGTGTGTGTGTGCGCTTAAGGGGGAGAGGGGGAAGTTCTAAAATGATAGCTATGAGCTATTCCCAAATACACCTTCCCTCTTCCAATACATCTACTCTGTCCTCCTCCCCCCATTCTTCGACATGAGTCTTTAGGGACATCACAGTCTGCTGTCTTTTTGTAACAATGCTAACAATCCAATTTCTCTAGTGCCTTGAGGTGGGGGAGGAAGACAGGATAAGCAATATTTCCCCCATTTTACAAAGGATGAAAAACTGAGACTCAGAGAGGCATCTGTTTGAATAGAAACTGTGCTAATGAGCTGATGGAAGGTTCTCTGCATGTGCCAGCTCTCCATTCCTAAAGTACAAACTGATCCCACAGCAGAGTTCTAAGGTCTTCTGAGGGGAGTGACTTGTGATACAATTATACAAGATGCCTGATTAGAAAGCAGGCTCTCTCCTGTTACCTCTCCAGCACCATGTCCACAAAGGCCCTTGGGAGAAGAAAATCTTCCAGCTCAGCCAGGCATCGCATGCTGTAGGGGAAACATCACAGGACATACATTTCTGGGCCAGGTGACCAGAGAAGCATCCCTTGGACCCCCTGGCCTCCACAATACCCACCTCATGTGGGTGGTAGAACAAAAGGAAGCCAGGATGTGAAAGCACTTTGTAAACTGTAAGGTGGTCCACAGAGGCAAGAGATTACTGACGTGTACCAGGAGGGCCACAATGACATTAGCAATGGATTCTGAAGTTGCAGAGAAGAATCACAGAGGGTAAACAGTTTGTTGATTTGTATATGTACACAGAAACATATAAATATGTATATGTGCATGTGTGTATGCATGTACATATACATTACATATATATACACATGTGCAAATGCACATATATTTTATATATATATATATATATAGCCACATACATGCATCATCTCCTCCTCCTTGAGGGCAAGGGCTATTTCATTTCTGTCTTTGTACTCTCCAGACTTAACACAGTACCTTAGCACAGAGTAGGTACTTAATAAATGCTTTTTGGTTGAGTATAACAATACTAATTAATCTTCTTATACATTACTCAGTATAAAAAGCCATTTCCTTACTGTTGTGTTATAAGAAAGGACAAGCAGGCTGATTTCAGAAAAGCCTGGAAAGACTTACATGAACCGATGCTGAGTGAAGTGAGCAGAACCAGGAGAAGACTGTACACAGTAACAGCCACACTGTGAGATGATCAACTATGAATGACTTAGCTCTTCTCAGCAATACAATGATCCAAGACAATTCCAAAGGACTCATGATGAGAAATGCTATCTCTACCTCCACAGAAAAAATTGATGGAGTCCGAATACAGACTGAAGCATACTATTTTTCACTTTCTTTTTCTTGGTTTGAGTTTTTTTCCACAAAATGACTAACATGGAAATACGTTTTACATGACTGTAGATGTACAACCTACATCATATTACTTACTGTCTTTGGGGAAGGGAGGAAGGGAGGGAAAGAGAGAATTCAGAATTCAAAATCTAAAGAAAATAATAATGTCAAAAATTATTTTCACATGTAATTGAGGAAAATAAATAATTTTTTTTAAAAGCCATTTCCTCCTGACAACCCTGAGAAGAAGGTGGGACCAACCATTTCCCCATTTTCCAAATGAAGAATCTGAGCCATGGAAAAGAGAAGTGACCCACCAAAGTCACACAGCTCATGTCACAGCAGTGCAATATGGCACAACACTGTGTAGAAGACCTGCATTCAAATCCTGCTTCTGGTGTTTATTACCTGTGTGACCTCAGGCGGGTCACCAACCATTCACAGGCTTCACTTCCTCATCTGTCAAGTGAAAAGACTGGACTAAATGACCTCGGAAGCCCCTTCTAGCTCTAGATCAATGGGCCTGCCTTTGCTGCCCACCACGTTGCCTCTCAATGTTGGAATACCAGTCCCAAGAGAAGGAGACACCCAGTGCGTTTCTGCTGAAGCCGGGCTCTGGCCTTGGTCTTCACTCACCTCAATGCTGGGCAGGGGGCTTTGGAGGTGGGGCAGGCTGTAGAGAATATTTCCTGTCTGGGGGGGATCATGTGGTGGATAGTCCCCGTCCATGGCAGGATGCACTGCGGGCATCAGTCAAGGTCTTGCTGCATGCAGTCTTTGGGGGCACACCGCTATGACCAAGTTGCCGCCAGAGTGTCTATCTCTGCTTTTCAATTTGCACCATGTCCTAAGAAAAAAACAAAGGCAAATGCGATCACTTTCAAAACACAAAGATTTTGCCTTGCTTCTCAATGGCCTGGAAGTGGGAAGGCCAGGGCTGGAGTACTACGAGCCGCCCTCTGCGTGACTTTGAGCAAGTCACCCATCTCCTCCCGAGCTTCAGTTTCCTTTCTCTATCAGAGGGAACAGGACAGACGAGTATCCTAGCTTGGATCTCTTCCTGATTCCGTTACTAACTCACTGTGGGATTTAGGACAAGTTAGAACATTTTTCTGTCTTAATATAACGGACAGTGTGAGGGAGGTTGCCACATGGGCAGGAAAATATTTTAATGGCACAAAATGCACATCCTTATTGATGGTCAAAAAAGAGGGCACTCCCACTCAATCTGAGTTCAAAACCAAGGGATTTCTGTGATGTCAGAGGAGAACACATACCTCTATCTCAGAATCCATATAGGGTTCCATACCACAAAATCACCTAGTGATGCACTAAGTCAACATAACCTGTGATTTGGGTCTAATGGACAAAAGTTGAATCTAGCACCTTGGCATAAATCACATGCAGTGAATACCTTTATCTTACCCTGTGTCTCTTCATTCTAAGAATGGTGAGGTCCCCAAGAGCACCCTCAGCACTTGGGTAGAACAATTAAAAAGATGGTAAGAGATGGCTGTCCCTCCCTCAAAGAGCCAGGATTGAACCCTTGTATGTCCCCTATAAAACAAAGAGGGCAGTAAATTTACTGGCACTAGCTATGGTGGCGGATAATGGACAGGTGGCATATAGGTTGAGGTTACTGGGCTCAATGGATCTGGATTAGCTTTCTTATCATTTTCTTAGAAAGGAATAGAATTAGGTGCAACCTTTAGTCAACTGACCTTGTCACTTATCTGAATGACTCTAGGAAGGAGGAGTTGGACAATGAGAGCCTGGAACACCTGGTTCCAACCCAATCATGGGCAGCCTCTAGTCAGCTGTCCGCAAAAATTCAAACCGAGTGGATGGCCAACGGCGTGAGATAACTCTAAGGTTTAACAATAGCCCCTCCTCCAGAAGTGGTGGAGAGGTTTTTAAAGCAAACAGGGTGGAGAACACTTTAAAGCAAATCTTATAACTTTATGAATAATGACTAGTCAACACAGCAGATCAAGGTAAGATGTATTCTGTCACCTCCATGGCCCTGGCCTTAAATATTTTTAAGAGAGAGGGGTCCTTAAACCAATTTGCAGACTGGTATTTTATCCACAGAGCCAGATTTAGACTGTGTCCCATTAAATGACCAAAATCAGGGGACTTGGTTCTGGAGACAGGCTAGCTGTCAGTGCAAGGCACTATATGAAGTATTCCCCCATGTCCTCTGCCAATGCAATCACCACTCGAGCAGGGCCATCACCCGACAGCACAATGCCATCTTAAACAGACCGATGAAGGCCAAGAAACCACCAAGATTCAGGTGAATCTGACTGTTCCAGCACTGGAGGAGGAACTTCAACTAAACCCAATAATTCTTTATCAGAAGAACCACACCGCCACTTGTCACCAACATTACTCTACCTTTTAAGACCAGATATGTAGTTTTCAATTATTACAGAGTAGTCTAAATTTAAAAATATTAAACGGTGAGCCATTTGGCCTAGGAATCTAGCCTAAGAAGGCTATCAAATATACAGTAACGCAGTTACTGACAGTTGGGGCTCTTGGAGGCTGGGAACCGGACAACGACTGTACTATCTAAATTAAAAAATAAAGGTAAGACAATCTTATGAGAGAACTGATGGTATAAAACTTGATCAAGAGGAACAGATACATACTACTGGGGTAAGATTGTTTACAGAATGAATACAAACAAAGGAAGTTGAGTCTCTCATTTCAATAAGGCATAAATATTTTTATCTTTCTTAATCCCAAAAGAGACCAATAGTTTTTCCTTACACATAAGGTTACTGTGAACATAATTCTATTGTTTGTTATGCTTATTACATTGAGATAAAATTGATATTTTACATATATATGGAGAGCGAGAGAAAGTGAGAGTGCTAGATTTTAAATTTGTGTTACCTCTCACATCTTATTCTTACTCCCTATTTATTGAGAAAGTTCTGGTGTGAATCATCATACAAATTAACATTTGTATATCAGTATTTTTTATTTACTGAAAAAGGGAAAAATACTTATAAAATGTGAAGACTGCACTAGATTATCTCTAAGGTCTTTTCTTGCTCTAACTAAAGTTATAAAATAGTTATATAATAATATGGTTATATAGTAACTATATAGTAACTATAGTAATAACAGTTATATAATAGCTAACATTAACACTCCAAAGTTTTCAAAGCTCTTTAGATATATAATCTTGCCAGAGCCTGACAGTAACACTTGGCAGCAGGTATGACAGATAAAGTTATCCCCACTTTACAGATGAGGAAACTGAAGCTCAGAGAGATGACCAGCTTGCCCATAATCAAGCCCGTGGGCACCAGGGATAGGACTTGAACACTGATCTTGGAACTCCAGGTTCAGTGACGTCCCCACTACCACCTGATGCCTCTACATTGTGTCCTGAGGCTCTTCCCAGCTCTAACATTCTGCATTCTAAAGTTTCTTGCAGCCCTGACATTCTGGGTTCAATGATCTAGCAGATGCTAGCAGATCACGGGCCAATGATTTTATGGAAGGAAGGAAAGAATTCTTGCATCCCACAAAGTGTTGGAACAGACATCCACAGGGTCCCTTTCCATTAGAATTTTCTTTAACTTTAGTCTATCAGGTCAGGAAGCACTGGCATGGGTTATCAAGGGAAGTAAGATATTTCCTACTGTAAAGACTTATGGAGGAAAGAGATAACTTTATCTGAGCAGATCTGGGTCCAAGCTTGCTCAGAACTAAAGAAAAGGCCTAAAAAATCTGGCAAAGTTCCTTCTAGGCATCTGATTCTGTGAACAAAACGATAACCTGGGGGCTCGGAGCAAAGGCTTGCAAAAACTTCAGGAAGGCTCCAGCCAGTAGAGATTAGTTAAGGCAAAGTGAAAATTCCTGAAACTTGTTTCCCTGATAAGCTGTAAAAGTCTTGGAAAGAAACAGTCATTAGGAGCCTAAACTAAGCCTCCCAGGTTTTCCATTCTGGGACACCACACTGCCCTATCCCTAATGGTGAGTTCTCTAACATCCAAACTAGGGCATGTGTTTCCACCAGCAACATAATCATTAGGAGCTGCCTGTTTAGCTCACTAGGGATCAAGTGGGAACAGTGACTGGAATCTTTAAGACCTCAGGAGAGAATCCACAATGTAAGAGCTAAGAGGGGCCTTGGAACACAGAACACAATGGCAGAGCTGAGAGAGGCCTTAAAGCCTAGAATGTTAGAATGTGAAAGGACCTCTTAGAATACAGACTGGTAAAAGAATAGAAAATATGAGAGCTGTCTCTGTTGGGGTCTTTTCTCCCCACCAGGAAGGAAAGACCATGAATGTCTCATCGCCACTCTTATCCACACATAGGTGCAAAGTCAATGGTGAGAGCAGCTCTTTTTAGAGTTGTCAGGGATCTTAGAACACAGGATGTCACAGCTGAAAGGTGCCTTATATATCACCTAATTCAATCTTTTTTATTGGCAGATGAGGAAACTTAAGCCCAGAGAGGGGAAGAGATTTGCCCAAGATGACACGAGAAATTAGTGGCAGAGTCATCAAACAAGTTCACCCACCCTCAACTTGATTATATCTAAGTGGAAAAGAAAAAAAAATGCCAACTAAAAAAAACCTGATTTGAGTTCAAGTCAAAGGGCACGGTTTGTGGCACCTTTCAGACAGAAACTCAAACCTGCGGCTTCCCAGGAAATCAAGATGACAAGCTCAGCACAGTTGTCCTTGGCTTATGCTACTGGGCCTGGAGCAAACAGAGCTGTGTCATGGGTGACAAGGTGCCGGCTTAGCCTCCAAAGGAAGGCTGCTTTGCTTCAGAGTCTATGTAGCCATCAGGCAAAGTGAATGTTACTCATCTGGCCAATAAAGATCCAACCAGGAGAGCTACCACTCCCACATTAAACCATGAAGTGAAGAAATCCACAGCATTTCCAGTAATCCACCCCCACCCCCACTGCCCCACCCCACTGAGAGGCTTTGTGCAACTGTGTCAGAGTAGCCCAGGCCACAGTGCCTCCACCCCTCGGCATCATGAGAAGGCCCTTTTACAATGATAGTAATGGTATACGGGGGCGAGCCACAGACCCAAGTGGGCTTTTGGGCCTCAAGCAGAACTCATCTTCACACAAGTGAGGACAGGCCTACAACAAGAGCACCCAGCTAGAATGGGCAGGAGAAACGCTACACGGGACTGCACTCGATGGGATGAGAATGACACGCAGCAGGGCCAGGAAAAATGGGGCCATGCTCAGGCTTTCGAGATGAGCAAACCAAAGACTAGCCATGAATACCTCAGAGATGTGTGGGGCTGAGCACAAAGAAGGCTTTCAGACAGAGGATCTTAGATTAAGAGCTGGAAGGAGCCATAGAGATGATCAATTTCATCCAACTCCCTCATTTTCAGATCACAGATCTGGAGCAGAAAAAGACTTCAGAGGTTAACGATATTATATACACAATTTAGCAGAAAAGGAAACTGAGGCCGAGGGAGGGAAATGACTTGCCCCAAATCACAAAGAGACAGAGGAGGGATCTGAGGCCCCTCAGACTTCAAACCCTGAAGACCCTTTCTACTGTACCACACAGCCTTCATCAGCTCATCCAAATAAGGAAACAGAGGTCCAGGGAAGTTAAAAGGCTTGGCTAAGTGACACAGGCCATGAGGGTCAAATAAAGGATTCAAATCCAACAACATCACTGACCAAATTACCCACTCAAAGACCAACAGGGAAGGAGAACTCACTGCTTCCTGAGGCAGTCTAATTAACTGACTTCTGAAAAACTCCCAACAGAGTGCTACAATCCCAGGCCATACGTGAAGTTCCTGCTGGTTAGTGAGTTGGACCTGTCCGAGTTTATGTTC